GCTGGCCTTTTTGGGAGGGGTGATGTCCTAAGGGTTTTAATTAAAACAAAAACAAATGTCCCTTCAAGCCTCTCCAATTGTTTCCAATGGGCAATCCTGTCCTTCCTTTTAGTATATCCCCTTGGCAGGACCTCCTTCGCCAGCCCGCCTCCTGGCCTCTTCCTGGTGGGACAAGCTGCTGCTGAATAATGGCCTCCATTGAGGCTCTAGACTTGATCTTTCCTGCTTACACTGGTTAGATTTAGGAAATGTGGAAATGGAGCTATTGGAATTTCAAGAAAGCTCTATTCGGAAAAATAAATTCTATGCCCTGCGTGAAACACTTTAGGAGACAGAAGGGATGACAAAGGACAGCACAGTTAGTTCTGAAAATGAAATCCTTAAAGCGTGGAATTCTCTGCCAGATAATGTTAAGTCAATGAAAGCACTTGGGATTGCTTTCGTTACTTTGTTTGGATCATCTTATGCTTGCGAGCAGCTGTTTTCAGCTTTGAATTATATCAAATCTGACACCAGAAGCAGACTAACAGGCTAACATGAGTGCTGCATGTGTTGCTCTCAAATTTACAAAGAATGGGCCAAGGTTCGACAAATTATCAGCATGCATACAACAGCAAAAATCACATTAATTGTTCAAAAGCATGCCAAATGCAAACTTTTACCTTTCAATAAAAAGTTGTTTGTATCATTGAAAGCTCTGTTATTGTGTTTTTCTTTTAAGACAAAAGATGTTAATGTATGAGTTGTTTTTTTCTAAACTAAAACCTCAGTATTCAGGTTAAATTGCCGTGTTGGCACTTTGCGATAAATAAGTGGGTTCTGGGTCGCAGTTTGGGCACTCGGTCTCTAAAAGGTTCGCCATCACTGCTCTAAGCTGAGTTAGTGTGAGCCAGCTCGCAGTTTTTTAGCCTCCAGCTCACTGATTTTCGTCTTCGCTCAGGAAGGAGGGCTCCAGAGCAAACTGATTTATGCAGCAGCCAAACCACTCACTCACAACTTTAATGCCAGTAGCTCACAAAGTAGATTTCTTGTTCACAAGATTCCACAGCTTAGGGGGAACCTTGGCTACAGCCAACGCTGGAATCGTTGAACCCCAATGTGTTCGTGCTCCCCCCTTCCGGCTGCAGATTTGAGCCCAGTAACACCGTAGAGACCAACAGGATTTTCAGGGTATAAGCTTTTAAGAGTCATAGAATCAGAGAATCACAGAGCTGGAAGGTACCTCCAGGGTCATCTAGTCCAACCCCCTGCACAAGGCAGGAAATTCACAAATACCCCCCCTCCCAAACACACACACAGTGATCCCTGCTCCATGCCCAGAAGATGACACACACAAAAAAACCCTCCAGGATCCCCGGCCAAAGTGGCCTGGAGAAAAATTGCTTCCTGACCCCAAAGAGTAGCGATCGGCCTTTCCCCGGGCGTGTACGAAAGGGCCACGAGAACTAAGCACTGTTGCAAACCCTCCCTTCTCATGACCTGCCTAAGTTCACACGATCAGCATTGCGGTCAGATGGCCATCGAGCCTCTGTTCGAAAACCTCCAAAGAAGGAGAGCCCACCACCTCCTGAGGAGTCAAAGCTCCTCTCGTCAGGGAAAATCTCATTAGTGTCTAAGGAGCTACTGGATTCGAACCTAGCTCTTCCACTGCAGACCAACACGACTATCCTCTGAAACTACCATTTTGGCTGTAGGCACATTTGACGGCTGAACCATTAACTAACCTGGTAGATTCTCGTGGCTTTCTACCATCACCTCTCCCAGGCGCTTCTTTCTCAGTTCCTGCCGGATTGCCTGCACCTAGGAAAAAGAAGATAGCCTTAGTAGAAGAACTCAGTAAGGAGGGCAACCAAGACGATTAGGGGGTTGGAGCACCTTCCCTATGAGCAAAGACTAAAGACTTTTCAGTTTAGAAAAAGAGATGACTAAGGGAGGAACATGACAGAAGTTTATAAAATTATGCACAGGGTGGGGAGAGTTGACAAAGAGAAATTTCTCTCCCTCTCCCCAAAGACTAAAACTCGAGGGCTTCCAATGAAGCTGATGGGCAGTAGGTTCAGGACGGACAAAAGGAAATGCTTCTTTACACAGAGATGGATTGAAATGTGGAATTCACTGCCAGAGAGTGCAGCTAAGGCCACCGGAATAAACAGCTTTAAAAGGGGATTAGATAGATTCAGGGAGGATTATCAACGACTACTAGCCACGGTGACTGAGGAGAACCTTCACATTCAGAGGCACTAATGCTCTGAATCGCAGAGCCGCGAGGCAACGTTGGAGGAAGCCCTCAGCCTTTATGGCCTGTTGTTGGATGTCCAGTAGAACCTGTTGACTACAGGATGCTGGAATGGATGGACTATCTGTCTGATCCAGCAGGGATCTTCTTATGTTCTTATGAAGGTCTCATCCTCTATGCCCTGTTATTGGCTCTCCAGAGGAACTGGTTGGCTACTGTGTGAGATGGGATGCTGGACTAGATGGATTATTGGACTGATCCAGCAGGGCTCTTCTGACGTTCTTATGAAGGTCTCATCCTCTATGCCCTGTTATTGGCTCTCCAGAGGAACTGGTTGGCTACTGTGTGAGATGGGATGCTGGACTAGATGGATTATTGGACTGATCCAGCAGGGCTCTTCTGACGTTCTTATGAAGGTCTCATCCTCTATGCCCTGTTATTGGCTCTCCAGAGGAACTGGTTGGCTACTGTGTGAGATGGGATGCTGGACTAGATGGATTATTGGACTGATCCAGCAGGGCTCTTCTGACGTTCTTATGAAGGTCTCATCCTCTATGCCCTGTTATTGGCTCTCCAGAGGAACTGGTTGGCTACTGTGTGAGATGGGATGCTGGACTAGATGGATTATTGGACTGATCCAGCAGGGCTCTTCTGACGTTCTTATGAAGGTCTCATCCTCTATGCCCTGTTATTGGCTCTCCAGAGGAACTGGTTGGCTACTGTGTGAGATGGGATGCTGGACTAGATGGATTATTGGACTGATCCAGCAGGGCTCTTCTGACGTTCTTATGAAGGTCTCATCCTCTATGCCCTGTTATTGGCTCTCCAGAGGAACTGGTTGGCTACTGTGTGAGATGGGATGCTGGACTAGATGGATTACTGGCCTGATCCAGCAGAGCTCTTATGTTCTTAACCAACAGCCCCTCTCCCCAGCAAATTAACCTACAGGAAAACCACTTTAGAATCCAGGAAAACCACAAGATTGGTGCTGTTTTGGCTGTTCTTATGGATCCCACCAAGGGAAAGGAAAATGTATTTTTAATTTATTCTACCTGCTGTGAATTTGCCAAGGTCTGACTACACATGGTTTTGGCCTTTAAGCAAGCCATTTTTGCCTGGTTCATTAAGCAATGTGTGGCAAATAAAAACAACTTCTTGGTTGCCAAACAGGCCAGTCTTTGTAACGTGGGAGTTTCCCCCCTCCCCGCCGCCATGGATGACTTAGGCTTTTATCTACAAGCAGGCAAGCTAGTAACCTTTTTTGTGTGTGGACTAGTAACCAATGTTCCCTCTAAGCTGTGGAGTCTTGTGAGCAAAAATTCTACTTTGTGAGCCACTGGAATTAAAGTTGTGAGCGAGCGATTTGGCTGCTGCATAAATCAGTTTGCTTTGGACCCCTCCTTTCTGAGCTAAGACAAAAATGTGTGAGCCGGAGGATAAAAAATTGTGAGCTAGCTCACACTAACTCAGCTTAGAGGGAACACTGCTAGTAATCTTTGTGGACTTATCAATAAGTCACAAAGGCACCTCAGTCTATAGGGGTTGTGGCTGAGGGGGAAGCCTCCCTCCTAGTAGGAGGCCCAGGGAATGAGTGGCCTGTAGGCCTCAAGGAAGCCCCCATCTCAGTCGGAGGCCTGAGTGGCCTGCAGGCCTCGAGTAAGCCTCCCTCTCAGTAGGAGGCTTGAAGGCCTCGAGGAAGCCTCCCTCCCAGTAGGAGGCCCAGGGAATGAGTGGCCTGTAGGCCTCAAGGAAGCCCCCCTTAGTCGGAGGCCTGAGTGGCCTGTAGGCCTCAAGGAAGCCTCCCTCTCAGTAGGAGGCCTGAGTGGCCTGTAGGCCTCAAGGAAGCCTCCCTCCCAGGGAGGCCTGAGTGGCCTGTAGGCCTCAAGGAAGCCCCCCTTAGTCGGAGGCCTGAGTGGCCTGTAGGCCTCAAGGAAGCCTCCCTGTCAGTAGGAGGCCTGAGTGGCCTGTAGGCCTCAAGGAAGCCTCGCTCCCAGTAGGAGGCCTGAGTGGCCTGTAGGCCTCAAAGAAGCCTCCCTCCCAGTAGGAGGCCTGAGTGGCCTGTAGGCCTCAAGGAAGCCTCGCTCCCAGTAGGAGGCCTGTGGCCTTGCTGGGATTTTTCCTTCTAGGCCTAGATTCCCCAGGTAGGCTTCTGATTGGACTGGGGTGAAACTGGAGGGAAGGCCAATCGCCACCAAGGGGGCGGGGCCTTGAGGCAACTAATATAAGGCCTCTCTGAAGTCAGAGGACGTTTCTCCTTCCAGGAGCTGAGGGGTACGGAGGCTGCTGCCAGCCCAGCAGGAGAGGGTCCCTCACCCACGGAGGGTGAGCTGGACCCTGAAAGGGCCAGGTGACGTAGGGCCCGGCGAGGCAGCCATGTTAGGAGGTTGCTGGCTCCTTTATGCTTAGTTGCCCAGACTAAGGAGGACATTAGGCCGCTCCCAAGAGAACATTTCTCGCTCGCTCGCTCGCGCTTATTAGCAGCCCTTATCTTCAAAGCCTGAGTTGTTTCTTCTCCCCACAGGACGCCAGGTGCAACATGGCCTGGCTCAGCCTCGTGTTTGGGAGAGCTCAATTAATGACTTTTTGACTCGTCGCCAGCCTTTTAGAGTATGGGACGCCTAGTTTTAGTTACGCATGTGGTCTCAAATCCTGGCAAGCTTTGCTGTTATGTGTATGTGCTGGAGGCCCAGCAGACAGTAGCTTAGCTTGCCTCTTCTGTACGTTTGAGGCTTCATTTAAAAATCTCGTTGAAAGCAAACCTGGATCTTGCATATCGTTTCCTTGGGATTTCTGCACATCCGGAGCTCCTGGCCACAGCTCCACACGCCAACCTCCAGGTGGAGCCTGAAGACAACACCCCCACACCCCCATTTAAGGCTGCCTACTTTGGATCCTAAAATACCTGGAGATTTTAGGGTGGAGTTTAGGGAAGAGAGGGACAGTGGTGGGGTATGACGTCATACAGTCCACGTTCTGGAGCAGCCTTTTGCCGTAGTTCTGGAAGATCTCCAGCCCCACTTGGAGTTTGGCATTGGCAACCCTACCCAGATGACAGAGATCAGTTCCCTTGGAGAAAATGGCTGTTTTGGAAGGTAGAGGTCTACGGCATTATAACCTGCTGAGGATCTTCAAGGCTTCACCCTCCAAATCTCGAGGAATTTCCCAACCTGGAGTTGGGAACCCAAGATTGTTTAATAAAGCTTTCTCATCTGTCTGGGTCCTCACACTTCAAGTGGAATCGTTCACCTGGCAGCACCCTCACCAGTGGAAGGGCATTGCTTGGAAGGAGGAAGGGAGAGGGGGCACTCAGGGCCCTCCCTGGTTTGAACCCCTAGACCAGAGCGCTGGCAGCTAGTTAAGGCCTTTGCCTGCTCCAGGGCTGGAGGGACTAGGGAGATTAGAGGGCTCATAAGAACATAAGAGACGCCAATGTTGGATCAGGCCAAAGGCCCATCCAGTCCAACACTCTGTCCCACAGTGGCCAGAAATACCAGGGGCCATCAGGAGGTCCACCAGTGGGGCCAGGACATTAGCCAACCGCTATGCCATGTGGGCCCAGGGCTGCCAACTCCAGATGGAAATTCCTACGGATTTGGTGGGCGGAGCCTGGGAGGGTGGAGTTTGGGGAGGGAGAGGCCTCAGTGAGGTATAATGTCATAGAGTTCATCCTCCAAGGCAGCCATTTTCTCCAGAATTGATTTCTGATCACCTAGAAATCGATTGCGATTCCTGGAGATCACCAGGCCCCACCTGAAGGTGGGCAACCCTGTGTAGAGACGCCCCCCCCATGCTGCCTACCTGGGTTCCATAGGAGACCACACAGATCCTCTTAAGGTCCTGCTCCCCCCATTCATCTGGCCACTTCTCGCTCATCTCTTGTACTTTCTCCACCACCTGCATGATCTCCGAAGCGTTGATCCAGGAAGTCTGTGACGCGTCCCGCGCAGCAGAACCCGCCACGTGGCAGAACATGAGCGGGTGGAACTCCGGGTGAGGGGGGATCTGGCCCATGGCTTGGATGGCATCCCCCTTGCCAACGTAGAAGTGCCTGGAGACAAAGTCGATGATGCTGGCGGTGGAGCGGTAGTTCTCGTTGAAGATGATCCTGCTCTTCTTGGCCACTTCTTGCTTCTCCTTCTGGTAGTACTGGAAGAGACGGTTCAGCCGGGTGTGGTCGGCCATCTGCTCGCCTCCTCGTAGGAAGAAGAGCTGCGGGGTCATCTGCATGTGGTCCCCGGCCAGGACGATGCGGGTCTGCAAAGTCGCAAGGGAGAGGGGGACCAGAGCTTCGCACTCCAACATCTGGGCAGCCTCGTCGATCAAGATGTGGCTGAAATAACCAGCAGGCACCCCAAGATCCTGGGAAAGCGTGCAAGTGGTGATAATGATCCGGTGCCGATCCAGCTCTTCCCTGGTGGGGAAGCGGAAGGAATTCTGGTGGGGAGAGAGGCAGCAATAGCGCTGCGTGATGGGGTCGGTCGATTTGACATCCCTGAGAGTGGACTTTATCCGGAGTGGGATGGCCTCTGGGTGCCCGGATGCAACGTAGTCGTGGAAGTATTCACGAGTATATATATCCGCAGCACTGGAAGAGAAGATGTGCTTACTGAAAATGATATATGGGTGCTTAAAAGACGTACAGGCTAACTAAGGCTGTCAGGTCATTCCTGCAAACCAACAGGTGGAGGACTTACCAGAAATGCGGTGACATCACTTCTGGTGCATACACCGGAAGTGACGTCATCGTGATGCGGGACACTCTGGCATTTGGGCAAAACTCTGTGGTCGCGGCCATTTTTACCAACGAGTTTTTGCCCAAACACCAGAGGGCCGCAGGTGACAAGATAACATCATTTCTGGTGTATGTTGGAATTAACACGACTGTGTCACCGGTGATGTCGCTGCAACATCAGCCTAGGTGCCCCCCCCCTACTGGCAAGCCCCCCTCTAGCCAACAGATCTGGGGCTCAGGGCCTAAAAGGCCTAAGTGCATCCCATGTCATTTTTGCTTTAAGATTTTTTTTAAAAGGTTAGAATTTAGGACCTAAAAAAGCACAATATCACAGAACATAGAATCAGAGAGTTGGAAGGGACCTCCAGGGTCATCTAGTCCAAACCCCTGCGCAATGCAGGAAATTCACGAATATCTCCTCACACACTCCCCAAGTGAGTGCCACGCTCAGAAGATGACAAAAAACCTCCAGGATCCCCAGCCAAACTGGCCTGGAGAAAAATGGCTTCCTGACCCCAAGGTGGCGATCGGCATTTCCCCAGGCGTGTAAGAAAGGGCCACGAGAACCAGGGGTCATTTAGTAGAAAAAGAGGTGCAGGCGCTCATTAGCATAACTCATTAGCATAACTTATTTGCATGTGCCACACCCCCTGACATTACCGGAAGTGTCAGAAGGCAACACCCACCACTCAGGCTCCGCTGGACTGTTTTGGATTGCTAGCTGTCGGGGGGGGGGGCCGG